AGTGGCCCCAGGGGGATCCGGAAGAGTCGGAACGTGGAGAAGCGGATGCTGATCCCCGCGGAGGAGCTGTAGGAGGGCCACCGGACACCTGGCTGCCACCTGTCTGCCCGGGGCCTCTGGCCAAGCACAGAGCCCCTCACCCACCAGCCCTGTTGCCAGAGGAGAAGCCCCTTCTGGGAGCCCTCCTGCCGGGAATGTGGGGCCACTGTCCAGCCTGCCTCCCACCTGCAGGCCCGTGGCTCCAGATGGGACATCGGAGCTTATCTGATGAGCTTGGGACTCGCTGGGGCCCCCTGGCTGTCTGCTCAGGGGCTGCTGTGAAGCGGGCGCCAGCAGGATGGACGGACTCCAGGCTGGGCCCCTGCAGGGAAGGGCGGCCTCTGGAGAGGGAGCAGCCACCCCTCGATCATGGGAGCTGTGGGTGTGGACAGGTGGGCCAGTAGGAGCCTCAGCTGGGCCTTGCCAGGCCGCCACGCAGCCCCTCCAGCCAAGGAGACTCCTGAAAGTCCCCACCTGACATGCGGATGTGGGTCTGGGAGGTGTCCGGGGCCACCTGCACAGGGATTTCGTCCTGGCCAGCCCGCAGGGCACAAGCGGCTCACAGATGAAATCACACTTATTTGTACATAAACACCTGGCTTTTCTAGAGACTCCAGCGGCCTCTGTTCCTGCGGGGTCAGCCCTGGAGGAGCCAACTGTACTGGGGTGTTCAGACAAGCCCCACGGTGCTAGGTCTGCTGTTGGGGGAAGGATCTGGGGCGCTGCTCAGAGCCCAGCGGGGCACAGAGCTCACAAGCAGACCGAAGGCCGTGCCCCGCGCCCTTGGGAGGCCCAGAACGTTGCCCTTCCCTTGGGAGCTCAGCTTCCTCCTTAAGATGGATCTCCAGCCAGCCCTGCCTGCAGTGGGTCCATGAAGGCCACAGATGGACTCAGGCCCAGAGATCAAAAGGGGCGCAGGATGGAGCTCGCAGCTTGAGCCCGCCTTCCCCCGTCCTTCTCTCTCTTGTATGCCAGGCCGGTGCCTGGGGAGACCCCTGAGGGTCAGAAGAAATGCAGCCCGGCCCTGGCCAGAAGGGGGGCCGCCCTGCAGCCTCCCTGCTCCCTAGGCCTGCAGACCTAGCACTAAGGCCGCAGCTTCTCTGAGGGCCCCACCGGGCTGCCTGGTGAGATAAGCCAGGCCGCCACCCTGCCACCCAGCTGGAAAGCAGCCCCCCACACTGCCTTATCATGCCATCCCGGCTGCGGGACCACAGTGGGCCGCACTCCGGCACAACCGGCTCAGTCAGCAGCTCCGGGAGCAACGAGGGCAGGAGGTTGTCTGGAGGACTCAGAGGGGGGCCAGTGCCAGACCCCCGTGGGCAAATGGGGATGAGGCCCTGCAGGCCCCCGCCTGGGTAGGGTCACCCCATTAGGGCCCCAGTTGCCTAAACCGTGTGCATGGGGTATGTGGGCTGGGACCCCCTTCCAGTGACCACACTCAGTGCGGGCTCCCGGTTGGAAGGCTCCTTCAGCACAGGCCCCAGCAGCCCCGTGTGCTGTGTCCACAGTGTGCTGAGGGCGGGGCCCGGACCCCAGCCTACCCTGAATTCTCACAAGCCCCGGGAAAGGGGCCCGAGGTCACAGAGCCGGCAAGAGACGGGCTAGCCCCACAGAGGCAGCTCTCACACTCGTCCAGCCCCCACAGACTTCTCTGTGGGACGAGGCCTGGCTTCTCCTTCAGACACAAAGTCAGGCCGTGCCCCACCACCCACAGGTAGATCACAGTCGTCCCTACCTCGCTGGCTTCGCCCGCTCCAGGGGGGAGTATGGGCGCTCTGGAGGAGGAGGGAGAGAGGCACGTCTTGCCATCCATGATGACAAAGTGGGCTCCCAGTTCTGGGCCCCACCCCACAGGGCCTTTCCTGGCCTCGGTGCTCTCACCTGGGAAATGGCCCCAGCAATCCACCCCAAAGGAGGCTGCCCTGAGAGACGGACGGCTGGGCCGGGAGGAGCAGCAGCCTTCCCCAACTTCCCAGGGGCCCTGACAGGGCTGGGGTCCAGGCCTGCCCTAGCTCCAGTCACCGGGCCACCATGCAGAGCTCTCGCAGGGGGAGCAGGCCTGGCCATGTGGGGGGCCACGGCGACCCCAGAGGGCTGGCACACTCCACTCCCTGCCCATTTCACAGAAGGGAGCCAGCAGACTGGAAAGGGAGGGAACAGGCCCCCCAGAGGCTACCCCTCCCAACCCAAGCTGCTGGCAATGACCGTGGGGCGGGAGTGGTCCCATCAGCTCAGGCAGAGGTGAGGTGGGAGGGCCGGCGGGTCTTGGAAACCCCAAGACCTGGCCTGCAAGTCTGCCCTCCTGCAGAGGCTGAGGCCAAGTGCTGACACGTCTGCCCCTCAGAGGGACGGGGGGTGGGGAAGGCCCACGGGGAACGCACAGGCCCCAGGCGCCGGCTTGCAGGAGAGCCAGCTTACTTTAGGCACCCTGCTGTCTACCCCAGTCGAAGTGTCTGTCTCCCTGCCTGCTGCAGGACCTGGCCCAAGATTGGGGCACATACCACCTGGTGGGGGCGGGGAGGGGAGCCATCGGAGCTGGAGAAGAAGGCTATGTCCAAAGGCTGGAGGCTCCCGGTTGGGGCAGACAGGGCACTTGGGAATTGGGCCCACCATCGGAAAGCCAGCCCGGCCGCCTCCACCGGCCTGACCCCCTCCCCACCTCAGGGCTGTCCTGATGGACCTCGCAGCAGGTGAGGACCACCGAGTCGGGGGGCGGGACATGGAGGCAGTGGCAGCCCCTCACGAACAGCAGTGCCCTGCACTCAGGGACTTGGAGCCCCCTGCCCCCGCACCAACCACACAACGAGGCAGGTCTGAAACCAGAAAACTCTTTATTGCAAAGGTACAAAAGCGTCACGGCAGAGATGTACAGCAATAAATTAGGTGGTGGCCGTGAGGGGACGGGGCAGGCGCGGGGCAGGTGTCGTACGGACAAGGACCACAACGTGGGGTCTCTTCTCAATAACTTATACCATGATAAAAGTAGCACAAAAATAAATATTGAAACGGAGCAGCTGAGCGGCAGAGGCGAGGAAGCGGGAGGCCCCGCCCCCGGGAAGGACCCACACGTCTGAAGCCCAGAAGGCAGGGGGGAGAGACCCCAGGGACAGAGGTCCTTGCCTTTTCTCTTACATAAAGAGCATCCATACGTTAAACCTGTGACAGTGGAGTCTCAGCGAGCCGGAAGGCAGAGCACAAGAAGGCTCTGGTCTTCCCTCCTCCTCCCGGGTTCCCGCAGGCCGAGCCGGCGGCGGGAACAGGCAGAGGGCGGGCAGCCCGGGCCTCCCTCCCCAGAGCCGGGGGCAACCGGCTCCCACCCCCATCCCCACCCCCACTGTAGCTCCGCCCTATTAGGGATTTACAGTAAAAACAGGAAAATTACGAAAAATCTGTACGATAAAATGTGTATATAATTTTATATATATATATACTTTCTCTCTTTTAAATATTTCCCCATGGTCCTTATCGATATCCAATGTGGATTACCTACCATGGCTATGGTATCAACAGCTTTTTTTTTTTTTTTTAACACACTGGGCCTTTTGCTCCGTAAGGATCCAGCGCGCCCCAGACCCTTCACCTCTCCCCAGGACAAGGTGAAGGCCGCATACAATGCGACGGAGGCCCCAGACCTTCACTGGTCACTCGCGACAGCAGACGCAAGAGGAGGATGCAGCCCTTGGGGCCATCAGCCCTGCCCGAGCCTCCTCTTCCCGGGCGGGGGGCCTGCGGCTTGCTGGGGGTCTCCCTCGGTGCCGGATGGCAGGGCCAAGAGGAGGCCGGGAGCTTGCGCTCACCGCCCACCCCCAGGCCCCGCAGCCCCAGCCTCTCTCCAGCAAGGCCAGGGAGAGGCAGTCCAAGCTCAGCTCGTGGGAGCCGGAAGCCCCAGTCAATCGAGGCTTGCAGGGGTGGGAAGCCCCAGCAAGGATCAACAAGGTCATGGGGGTCCAGGTGCCAGAAAGAGCAAGTAAAGGTTCCGGGCGAGGGTTAAGCACCATGGTGGCTGTGTCCCCTTGTCCTCTGCACCAAGAGACCACCCAGGTGCCCCAAGGAGGCAGGTCCAGGCCCCGTGCCATGTCACCTCCCCTGTCACCGCGCCCTCCTCACTCTTCAGACCTTGCCCGTCCCCTCCAGCAGAGCCACAACCCAGTCCTGAGGCCCCTGCCCACCTCACCCCATGCCACACAGAACCTCCGCACATCCACTCCAGGCCCTGCCACCCCTCCCTGCACAGGGCTCCACCTCCCTGGCCCGACAGGGTACTCCCTGGGGTCACTCAGACAGAGGGACGGTTCCCAATGCCCCTGCAGCTCCTGGTGCATGGACCCCGGAGGCCCCCCAGTGACCGGCCCCCTGAGCTGCTCCCCCAAGGGCCTGGTGCTGCTGGTGCCGGTGCAATGGCAGGCACATCCCCAAGCACACGTGCACGTGCACACAGCCCCTTAGGCAGCCCCCCTCCCTCCCTCTGCCTTGCGCGGCGCACTTTCCGCTAAGGCTAAAGCAGGCTCGTGGTGCTTTCCGTCCCCATGGCCAATTGGTTCCTCCTGCGGCACCAGAGCTCAGGGCAGGGAGGGGGTTCCTGTGGCAGCTGGAGGACGGCGGCAGCCACTCCTGGGACACGTGGAGGACAGAGCCCCACCGTCTCGGCCAGGAACCTCCAGCAGACCTTCCTTCCATACCTCCCGACGCCCCCTGGCGTGAGACAACTCCCCCCCAACCCCGGGAAAAGGACAGTCTGAAGAGAGCTGGCGGGGCCCAGAGGAAGGCCGAGTGCATACGTGTGCGTGTGTGCGTGTGCGTGCGTGTGGGAAGGCGTGCAGCACACGGTCTCACAAGACCCCATCTTCAGCCAGCAACCTTGTCCCCGCCATGAGTCTATACTGGACTTGGGTGTTAAGGGGTCTGCTCCCCATGGGACCCTCCGATGGGCACCAGGGAGGTGCCCCCACACCCGCCCAGTGCCCCGGCCGCACCCCCCAGACCCCCACCCCCGGTCGGGCACTAGGATGCAGCCGAGAAGGGCACGGAGGTGGAGGAGATGTCGGCAGACTTGACGATGGTGATGACGCTGGTGGTGGCCACCTTGGTGGGGGTGACGGGCCCACGGGCCACGGTGCGGGCGAAGGTCTGCAGGGCCTCGTACTTGGAGCGTAGCGCGTCGAGCTCCAGCTTCATGCTGCTGTTCTCGCGGGCCAGCTTCTCCACCTCCTGCTGCAGCTCCACGCGCTGCCGCTCCAGCTCCTCCTTCTGCGTCACGCGCTTGATGCGGCAGCTGGCGGCGTAGCCCCTGTTCTTGAGTGTGCGCCGCCGCTGCTTCAGGCGCACCACCTCCTCCTTGGTGAGGCCCCGCAGGTGCTGGTTCAGCTCCCGCACCGACATGGACACCAGCTCGTCATCGCTGAGCACCGGGGCGTTCTCGCCCGCCTCCTTCTTGACCTGCAGGGGCCACGGCACAGCGGTCAGCATGGGGGCGCAGCGGGAGCCCGGAGGATGGCTCAAACCGTGCGGGCACGGGAGCCCGGGTCTGGGCCGGGGAGAGCTGGCAGCAGGCCCCCCATGGCGCAAGTGGGCCTGCAGTCTGCCGGCAGGGCACGGGGCGCTGGTTCTTGGATGGGGGCCGCTGGCCACACCCGGCCATTGCCTGGTTCCCACCGGCCACCCGGACTCTGCATGGCTGCGGCCTGCACGTGTGCCCCGCTCTGTACATTTCCCGGGACCGGGGCAGGACGCACACAGGCAGGTGGGGCACGGGAAGGCACAGCAGCCCATCCTTCCACACCCCTCAGACCCAGCGGGACCTCAGAAAGGGCTTGGGTGTGGTTGGAGAGCCCCCTCTCCCGCCAGACCCAGCTCTGCTCCCAGGATGAGACAGCCGACTCAAACTCACGCTGCCAGCCCCAGAGGCCGGGAAGACCCGAGGCGCCGGCACACACTGTGGCTGGCCAGAGCTGGGCCCCGGGAGCCGGGGCGTGTGCTATCTGGGCCCTGGTTCCACGGGACGGAGGCCACACTGCCCACGCCTGGGGGCTGGCGTGATGAACACCTCCTAGCCAACGGGGACCCACCCCTACCACTCGCTCCCAAGGACTGATCCCCTCAGATGTCAGAGCTGCCCACTCCCAAGGCCACGACCCCCAATTCTGTCACCACTTCTCTGTAACACGTCTTCTAGCTGACAGCCCCCTTTCAGGGAACAGGGCTTCCTTCCTCTCACTCAGGGCCATCCTGGGAAAGAGGCACTGCTGGAGCCGGAAGGGACCTTTCCTAGGCCTGAGCCCGGGACAGAAACAGGGCCTGCTTACCCGCACCCCCGCTTACCTTTAACGCCTTGTTTGGTTTGGGATTAGTCGTCATAACCTGGGCACAGTCACCCGAACAGAAGGGCTTGGAAATTGGAACTAGAAAATCACACAAGAACACAGAAACAAGTGAGGTTAGGTGCTGGCCAGGCTGGGGACAGGGCCTACTGCCATCACAAGTGACCTAAAGCGGGGATGTCCCCACCGCAGAGTGGCTCCGAGGTGGCTCATCTCCTCGTTCCATGTCACCCCGAAAGCAAGATAGGAGCCAGCCAGTGCTGAGGGACTCCCTTGCAGGGTGGGCAAGCTGGCCACACCCCCTACTCCAGCATCAGACCGTGGAGCAACCCAGACCCCTCCTGGCCGGACCCACTTTGGCCAGGAGCCCAGCAGCCACACCGCAGTCCCATGCCGCCCCGCCTTCCAGGTCTCTGCCACCAGCGCCTGGGGGCCACTGGGTGAGAGCAGCTATGACTTCCTGTTCTCTCCCTCGGAGCTGAGACGCTGGCACCACGAGGCACAGGATGCCACGTTTAAGGGCCAAAGTGTGCAGCAGCAGAGCCCCCTCCCGAGATGGGCTGCACCCAGCACCTAAAGGGCGTCGCTGGCCCCCAGGACAGCACCCTGCCCAGGCAGAAGCCCCCAATCCCCCTGACCTAGCCTGGCTAGAGAGGAAGGGGCCCTGGGGGGAGCGCACCCCCACCCTGGCCCAGCCCCACCCTTCCCAGCAAACCTACCTCCGCACAGGGCACCGCAGCTGTGACATCACCACCCGCCCTGGGCTGCCCCACAGCCCTGACCTGAGGCCCACCAGGTGGGCGGGGTCCCCCTCCAGCGGCCAAGCCAGGATCCGGGAGGTGGGGAGCCGCCACTGTGCGAGCTCACGAACCGTCTGGCGGGAGTTGTCCCCGGCGCCCGCCAGCCCCCGCCAGAGCCCGCCCTTCTAGTTTTCGCGTCTGCATTGTGTCACACATTCTAATCATTCATGAAAAAGCCAGCCAAAGCATCCCAAGCATGATTCCCCTCTGATAGTTGCCATGGCGACCTTGGGATGTAGCCAACCCCTGATGGTCGTCATGGAAACGGAGAAGCCCACAGCAACAATGGCTTTGGGCAGCCAGCACAGACATCACAGGTTGTGGGACAGTAAACAAACCCGTGCGCCCCCGAGGCTGGGGGGGAGGGTGGGCAGAGGGGACCGGGCCCTAGACTTGCTGGCACACTCTGTCACTGGGTTAGGGACCAGGCAGGATGAACTGAGCGGAAAGAACATCAGAGAAACGCACGGCGGGGGAGGGGGGTGAGCCTCACCAAAGCCTCCATCTCCAGCGTGAGCAGGACTCGGGTGGGCGTCTCCACCTCTCCTTCTTTCGCCCACAGCCCTGGGACCCCGCGTGTGGCACGGCCTAGACACAACTCCCACTGCTCCTGCCTCCAGCACCTTGCCTGCCTGCCATTACCGGAGGGTGTCGGTGCCCAGGCCACTGGACCCCCCATCGCCCAGGCAACACGGCCACTTTCCCTGGAGCTGCCACTGGATGACGGAGAGCAGCGCAGCAGGGTTGGGGCAGGGCCCACCCTTGGGGGGCTCCGAGCTTACCTGTGCCCCCCCAACATGTGCATGAGACAGACACACAGACATGCAGCAGCATGGGGGAACCGCAGCAGGGACCAGGAGCTGCCTCCTGACAGCAGCCTGACCCCCAGCCTCTTTGGTGGGGGGGCCACAACCAGCACTCCTCCCTCCAGGAGCAGGGGTCCTACTGTGCCAGAGAGACCACCTGGAGGGCCGGCAGGAGCCAGGCAGCTGGGAGAGCCCTGAGAAACTTTTCCACGGGCTGGGTGTCATCCCAGCACACGTCAGCGCACAGGGCCTGGAGCCGCCAGCACATAGCTGTGCGGTGAGTCACGGCTGTTTACAGAGCGAGGAGCTCACATTCCCACAGACCGAAGGCCCTCCCACCCCGCACGCACCGCCCAGCCCGCCTGACGAGAACAGGGAGGCCCCAGCACAGGAGGGACCTGCGCTCAGACCCCGCGCAGCAGGGGCATCCCTGCCTCCCCACACCGGCGCGCCCGCTCAGTGGGCACCCAGGGCCATGGGGCTGCATCCGGGGCGGGTACACCTCCTCAGAGAACCTGCCCTCCATGACAGTGCCTGGGGTAATGTCCAGGCAACCAGGACGGTCAGGGGACAGGGCCACGGCACTCCACAGGCTCGGCCCCCTCCCCTCTGCAGAGGCCCCAGGAGGGTCCACTGGCTATGTCTGCAAGGTTGAAGTCACCCGGGCAAAGCCCCATGTCCACCAACTCTGCACCCCATCTGCCTTCTGGGCACAGGACACAGATGACAGCCCCGGCATAGATGGGAGAAGAGCGGCCCTGGGGCCCACCTGGGATCCAAGCGAGGAGGGACACCTCTCTCTGTGGGAGGGTGCCACACTGGGGTCTGACCTCTGGGGACCCCCAGCCGTCCTCAGAGCTCCTATTCAACAAGAGCGACGTGAGGCCTAAGAGCAAATGGGAGTACACATGGAGGTGATCATAGCCTTGAGACAAAGTTGGGGGATAAGCCATAAAGCTCTTCTCTCCACAGGCCTTATTCTCCTCCTCTGAAAATGAGGGGATGGGAACTAGGGGTCCCGGGGTTCTCTCCAGCTTGCAACCTTGGTTGGGCAAAGCAGGTGATGCCAGGATAGACCCTGACTGGAGGCTCCACCCAACCCCCAGGGGCCTGGGGCCTGCACCAGGAACCCCCGGTGAAACCAGAAACCCTGACATGGGTGGGCAAGTCCCGGGCAGGGGCAGACACTGTCCCACGGCCCCCTGCCCACCAGCTGCTGGATGGTGGGCTGCCCCGAGGGGCACTTCGCAGACTCCGCGGCGGCTCAGGGAGTGAGGAGTAGGCCGGGCACTGCCCAGTCTCTCCTGAGCTCAGTACATGGGCAGACACGGCACCATCACGCCCCTCTGCCGAGCCTGGCAAATACAGACAGTGGTGACCTGAGGTCCCTGCTAACACGCAAGGCAAAAAACCCGACTGTTTGCTTTTGAAAACAGGTTCAGAAACATGTTTCAAACGTGTGCGAGTTTGTACAACCACTGATTTTAGAACAACCGCCCTGGAACGGCGCATGTAAAGCCCTGAACCTCATGCAACCTCGTGGCTGCCAGAGCACATGCAAGAGGAACTACCTTCCGGCCTCAGCCAGACCCCAGCTGGGCTGAAAGACCGAGGTCCCGACAGGCTGGGCGAGAGCGCCAGCCACACCACTGCCCCTTTTGCCGCAGCCAGCAGCCGGCGCCCACCTCTCCAGCAGCTGCATGAGAGGACACTGCGGGCACCGAGTCCTGCCACCACTGGCTGACAGAACCTCGGCCACGCATGCACGTGCTCCCCATGGGCTTTCCTGAACTCCAGTAAAGTCGCCTCCCGAGCAGCTCCACGGCCAGACTCAGGCAGGGACACCCCCGCAGGCAAGCGTGAACCTCCACACTCCGCTCCCACAGCTGTGGGGACGCTGCTGGTCAGAAGGGCTGCGTGGTCAGCCCCGAGAGCTCGAAACACCTTCTGGGGCACTGCTCTCCTGACTGAGGGAGGCTGGTTTCAACCCAAGGCCTGGTGTGCAGCTAAACAAAGTCAAGGGAAAGACGGCGCTGAAAAAGAATAAAAAAAGGGACCAGCAGTCTAGATGGGGAGTCAACTCTGGGGACGGCACAGCTGGGAACAAGTCAGGGAGCCCTCCCTTCGGGCCGCGCAAAGAACGGGCCAGGTCACCCAGGTTCAATAGTCCAGAAGGGCTTTCCCAGGGCCAGGTGAGCTAGAGGCCAGGATCCCCGATCCTGCATCCCCGATCCTGCATCCCCTAGCAAACACCGACTGCTGGCCCACTGTCTGACTCAGCTCATCTGGGGCGACTCAGGGCCCAGGCCATCTGCAGTGCGCTCTGGCCCTCACTGGGCTGGACTCAGGTTCGGGACCCTGAGGGGACATCTGGTCCACCCGCAAAGCCAGGCAGCTGATGGGCACAACGGCCCCACCTAGACAGCCCAAGGTCTAGAGGATGTCACAGAAAAGAGGCTTTTGGAGTCTGACAGGGCTCTGACCCTTACCTCGGTTGGACAAGCCCACACCCCGCAAGGTGGGCTCTCAAAAAAACTCTCATTCTTGTTCTATGTGGAATGAAGGTGACTGCCGCTCCCCGTACCTGCCCCCTCCAGCCCTCCCAGCCAACTGTTCTACGCCTGCTCTCCCAGCTCTCCAAGGGGGTCTCCTCGGGGAGAGGGAGAAGGGCAGGAGGAAAACGGGAAGGGACGAAAAGGGTTCTGTCCTGGAGCAGATCTCTGCTCCTCGCAGAAAACAAGCACCTTGACTCACCCTGATGGGTGCAAACCCCAAAGCCAGACGCCACCATGATGTGACCACCTCTGTTCTGGGGGGCTGTGGACCTTCTCAGGGGGAAACCCAAAGCTGGGCGCCCCTCCCAGCTGGCTGCACAGTGGGCCCGTGTCCCACAAGCACAGGGTGACAGAGCCAGCTTGCCCCCCAAGCTGACGCCTCACCCAACTGAAGATAGGTCTCAGGACCAGGAGGGCTCGTACCTCCCACCCCACTCCTCTCCATGTGGGGGTGTACCCCACCAGCCCGGCCCACACCCAGTCCGCAGGCTGGCCCTGGCTGGCCGCCCTCCGCCAAGACATGACTGTCTGCCTGGCTTGGAGGACGTCTGGTCACCTTGCGTTTGCAGTTCGAGGAAGCTGTGTCATCCTGGCTCTGTCCGGAGGTGACTCAGGCGGCTGCTAGGCTGACAGCAGGCTGACTGCTGGACCTCCCTGGCCACACCCCAGCCCCTCACTCCCCCAGGAACCTTCAGGGTGGTCCTCCCATCTCCAGGCTCCACTCTGGGGCTCTGTCCATGCCATGGCTGCCCAGGGGTTCGACCGGCCCCAACCTCCACATCCAGCCAAGGTTACACAGCCCACATGTCTGACAGGCCCCAGAGATGAGCCCTGTCCCCATACCTGCCCGCCTCCTGTGTCTCCAGTGCATGACGACCCATCATGCCACTCATGCAGAGATCATCCCTTACGCCTCACCTCTCCTTCCATGTCAACCTGCTGAGCCTGGCCGGCTAGCCTCAACCCATCTCCCTGCAGAGGCTCTGGCCCTCCAGCGCTACCTGGCTCAGGCCTTGGCTGCTTCTGTCTGGGCCTTAGTCCCTCAAATGAGGGCCCCAGGGCAGGTAGAAGAAACCCCTGCCCAAAGGCCCTCTTGAGCCCCTCACGCCCCTGGCCACCTGTTGCCTCCAGGCCCCCACCTCTGGCTTCCAGAGCCTCCGCGATCAGTGCTGGGCTCCCACCCTCTTCCCCCAACCCTTGCTTCACCAGAAGGCCCCCTCCTGCCCTCCCTGTGGTAGGCAGGTACCCTCTCACAAGGACACATCAGGGCCGAGCCCAGAACTTAGTCCTGGTCTTTCTGTCCCAGGTTTGCCTCCCTTGCTGGATGGAGGGCAGGGGACATTCTTAACTACACCTGCTCCCCTTAACTCTCCTCAAGGGAGAGGCATGCCACCTGAGCACATATGCCAGCACTGCACCGAAGGGAGGGGATTGGGAGCACCCCAGCTCAGGACCTCCTGGCTCCCTTCATCCAGGGCAGCCCACACATGGCGCAGGAAAGCAGGCAGGGAGCTTCCCCACCCTCCGGATATCAGAGTCTGCCGCCACAGACCAGGTGGGGAGGCTCCGGGCTCCGGGCTCGGTGTCCTCTTCTAAAGTGGGGGTACTGTGTGATCCCTACATTTATTTCCACCTGTTCTAAGGATCTATGACTGGAAGAGAACACTTTCAATTTCCTGAAACTGGAAGAAAGAGGAAACATGACAAGTCTGTGACTTACAAAAAGCAAAAGTAAACACGGGAGCCATGCATCTTCCAGCAGCCGGGAGCAGGGAGGCGGGGAGCAGAGGGGAGGGTGAGTCACTGTTTACTGCTTGGAGCAGCCACACAGAGAAGCTCACAGCTGCCGGGTTCCATTTCCCGTGTGGACTGGACCCTAAAGCCAGCAAGTCCCCTCCAGAAACCTTCAGACTCGGGAACAGCCAGGACTCAGGCTGGACTCCTCCGCTGCCAGGAGCCGGTTCATAGACTCTCCAGCTCCCGGAGCCCCCAGAACGGGCACGTGTGGGGCCACGGACATGCGGAGGGAAAACGGTGGGTCAGGAAAGCAAGCTCACTCGGGCAGCTGGGCCCCGGAGACAGGGCTGGGACGCAGCAAGCCCCGGAAACGGCTTCCCTGAGTAGCTCCAATTCAACTCCCATTTTTAGCAACCACCTTGAGTGAGTGGGGCTGAACTTGGATCGCGTCCCTCAAAGTCCAGCTACATTCAAGCACAGAAAGTAAACATGTTCCGAAGAAAAGCCCTGCATGTGTTTTTGAGTCAGGGAACTGTATTTTGGGATCACGAGAGGACCAGCGCTAGGCTCTGAAAGCAGACCTCCCCCTCGAGCAAACATGCCTACTGGGCTGCCCAGGGAGGGATGTTCTCCAAAAGGTGTCAGCTACCCACAAAGCAACCAAGGCTGGAGGTGTGCCTCACCCACCTGCACAGCCCACCTTAAACTTCCCAGACCCCTCCCACCTGCTTAGAGGGACACTTTCAAAAGCCCCACCCCAGAAGGCAGGGTGCTCGGAGATGGCCCAGCTCCCAGGGCACACAGCTGTGCTCAGCCGTGAGGGCTGGAGCAACAAAACCGCGCCAATGCCAATAGCGGGGACAGGGGAGGGGGGCCAGGCCGGGCAGCCAAGCCACACCGGCTCAGGAAGCCACTGATTCTATCTGCCGTGTGGGGCGTGGGTGCACCAGCCGTGGGAGCTTCCTGAGGCCAGGCACCTGGCGAGAAGGCGGCTGAGTGTGGGGACCTTCCCGCACTAACAATTCATTCAGCATGGAGCATTCCTGCCTGGCCCCGGAGAGCAGCGTGAAAGGTAAACAAGAACACAATCATTACTGCAGGACAGGGAGAGCAGGGAGCTTCCAGCAACCCCAGACACCAACTGCCCCACGACTGCGTACCGCTTTGTGAAAAGACTTCACAACACGTGGCCAGTGAGAACACCATGACAGACACAAGGCAAAGCGGTCTGCAGCACCTTAGAGCTAGGTGGAGAGTGAAGCATGCCCAGGACCCCTCCCAGCCTCCCGGGGACGCCTGCGGAAGCCAGCGGGCGGGCACACCGCGTCTCCCCAACTCAGCAGGGTCACAGAAGAACCCGCAGCTGTACTTGAGAGAGATGGAGACCCCCACTCGCAGGTGGGGAAGATGAGACCGCAGGCCGTGGGGTTTAGGGAAAGTGACACGTTTGCCCTGCCCCCCCTCCCCACCCCAAAGCTTCCACACCAAGGCCTCCCTCCGGGGAACCCATGGCAGGTCAGCTGCTCTGAACGCGACATCGGTCCTGAGTCCCCTAGTCCTGGCGCTCCCGCCCTCTCTCCCATCCCCGCCGAGCGCGGGTGGGAAGCCACCGCCTGGCAGGGCAGCACCGGCCGGGTCGGCCCTGCGCGACCACGCGCTCCCCTGCACGTGGCCGTTTATTTTCAACCCCCGCCTTCCCGCCTCGGAGCGCATCTCCCAGGGCTAAAGCCAAAGCAGGCGGTGGGGTGCTCGACAGGGGGCGCCGGGCCCGCCGGCACGCCCCGGGCTCCCCCAGCGCGGCCCCCGGGAGGACACACCGCCTCCCGCTCTAGCTCGGGGTGGCCCGGGGGTCGGGGCGCGCTCCCGGGCCTGAGAAAGAGGAGCCCCGGCCCGCGCGACGCGCTCGCGGCAGGGCACCTGACGGCAGGTGCGCGGGCCAGGGTCTCGGGGTCCCGCCCAACTTCGCCGCGGGTCCAAGGCGGCCGTGACTCAGCCGCGCGCGGGCCCCGGCCCCGAACCTCCCCCGCCCCGCCCCGCCCCCGGCCCCCAACCCGGCCCCCAACCCGGCCCCCAACCCGGCCCGGCCCAGCCCCGCGCGGCCGCTCCTCACCTGGAGTCGCGCGGGGGGCGCGGGCGCGCGGCGGCTCCTCGCGGGCACGCGCTCTCCTCGCGCTCGCGCTCACTCTCGCGCTCCTTTTCGGCCGCCGCTTCCGCCGCGCTCTGGGGCTCCGACTTCGCGAAGAACAACAAGTCCCCCCCGCCGCCCGCCGCCAGCCCGCCCGCCCGGCTCCCCAGCATCTGACACCGCTTCCGGGATCGGCGTCGGCGCGCGTCACGCCGCCCCGCCTACCGCGCGCCGCCGCCGGGCCGGCCCGCCGCCCCGCCCACCGCGCGCCACCGCGCGCCACCGCCCGCCACCGCCCAGCCCTGCTCTCGGCCCCGCCCACCACTGGGTCCCGCCCCTCGTCTGCAGAGCTCCAGCGCCGCTGCCCCGCCAGTGCTAGGCGGGCGGCTGCAACCTGTGCCCGCAGGTGTCCTGATCGCCGCCCCCCCCCTCGTGATGACAGTCGTCCCCACTAAGTGAGCCCACCAGGGAGCACCCGCACTTCCCATCACAGCGCGCCCTAGCCGCATTGCTCTCCTCTGGAGCCCCACTTCCCCGACAGCGCATTCTCTCTTTCACATGTCTCCCTGCTGTCCCCAGGGGTGGTCCCAGCGCGAACCTGCAGCTCTCCAGAGGAGTCCAGCTGGAGTTCACGCCCCAGGGGACAGTGCGCTGACCTGAGAGGAGTGGACGCATTTCAGTGCACACCCCCCTGTTCCAGGGCCACAGGCCCACAAGTGAGGAAAGGGCAGCTGGCATTGCGCCCCCCAGGAACATCCCTATCTGTCCTTTGATTTCCCTCTGTTGATCAAGAAATGGGTAAAGAGGGGTATCTGGGTGGCTCAGTCAGTCAAGCGTCTGCCTTCCACTCAGGTCGTGATACCAGGATCCTGGGACCCAGTCCAGTATCTAGCTCCCTGCTCAGTGGGGAGTCTGCTTCTCCCTCTCCTTCTATCCCTTCCCCTCTGCTTGTGCGCTCTCTCTAATAAGTAAATAAAATCTTGAAAAAAAAGAAGAGGATAAAGAATTATTTCTCTTCTATAGGTACGGTGATAAACAGTTTTGGCCCAGGGCCTCAACAGGAAGGACTCCAAGGCCCCAGGGGCCTGCAGAAGAGTGCCTGGCTAGAGCCCCAGCTCACGGTTGCAAAGGCAAGCCCAGAACAGTGCCCCTGGCTCCAGAAGGGAGTAGCCCGGTTCTGTCCCAGGTAGAGGACAAAGCTGGGGAGAAGTCCCTTCTGTTAAAATCCAAAACAAGCGGAGACTGCCCTGGAAAAGTCCCTGAACAGACAAAATCAGTTTAGTCATTGAAAGCGTCATTGAGCTTATTCTGCAAGTCTAAGATGACCCAGGTCATACCCCTGCTTCTGCAAATCATAAGCAAAACCAAAACTGCTTCTCGAGGTTGTCGGGAGAGAATCACGACCCAGGCCCCTGTCATGGAGGAAACTTCTGGTATGATAACCACTAACCCCATGAACAGAGCACTCACTATGCTCTCACCACGGAAGGTGCTGTGTGAGCCCAGAGTCCCACTCCATGCCTGGTGGGAGCGCTCTTGGTTCCCCTGGCTGTGCCCCGTGTTCTGGTGGGACTGCTCCTGGCTCCCCTAAGTCCTGCCCCTTCTTTCCATGGGAGTGCTCCCAGCTAGCCAAGTGTCTTTTTGGTGTGTGTACCATATACTTAGTAAGTCCTACTTGGGTGATTTGTTGGTTTTCCTTCTGTTACGTGGCAACTTTTGACATTTCATGGTGTCAGAAGTGGGATTAAAAAAAATCCCCCCCCTCCCCACACACACAATGACTCCAAGGCTGCTGTGCAGACAGGTCCTGGCTCCCACAGAGCCCACAGAGCTCAGTGCTTTCTCGCCAACCCTGAGGTTTGCAGGTGAGTCTCTCAGATCTGAGCTCTGCTCTCTGGTGTTCCAAGCTCTCCAACCTCAGTGTGCATACTTGCCCAGATGGCCAAGGGGTTTTGTGAAACATTCTCTATTTTGCATCCTGCGAGGACCCCTCTGGAGCTGTGTTTTGGAGTCCTTTCTTCTTCTAGCAGCTTAAGCATGCCCATTAAAGAATGTATCCCATTGTCTCCGAATGAGTTTTTGGACAGAAAAAAGTAAAAAAGACATGGGTTTTTGTTGTTATTGTTTTGTTTTGGTTTTGGTTCTGGTTTTGGGGGTGGCAGTGGGGGTTGGTAAAGGAACAAGAAAGTAATTTCATCTTAGAGCAAAATGATTATTCTGGAATAAGAAAGGAAAAAGATAGGAAAAACCTAAATGGATATAGAAAGTTGCAAGAGGTTTGTGGAAAAAGATCTTGAAAAAGCAATTTAATGTGTGGTCAAGTGGGCTAAGATTGGAATTGATTTATTTAACCTCAAAAAAATAAAAAAAAAAAGAATTTTAGGGGGTGCCTGGCTGGCTCAGTCAGTAGAGTGAGTGACTCTTAATCTTGGGGTCATAAGTTCAAGCCCCATGTTGGGCACTTAAATTAAAAAAAACAAAACAAAACAGATTTTTAATATCAAAAGTACACTAGTACAAAGTTAGAATTTGGTTTTTCCTTGGTTAAAATCACAAAATTTTCTTTTAGGTTATCTGTCTACCTCTAATCAGAAATTTTAAACAAAGGATTCCTTTACTTTTAATGTAAACAAAGATTCTGTATTTTAGGAATGAAACAAAGATTCTGTATTTTAGGAATATAATTTTCCTGTACTTAACATTGTCTTTACCAAGTCTTTGATTACCTAGAAAAAAAACAGCTGAGTCTTCTCTATTAAAAGAACTAAGGTCATTTTTGCAACTCAGTAACTTTCTGTATTTGCTTTTGAAATTTTTAGTTGTCACTTTGGTACCAATGGATGACTAGGCACTGTTTTCATGGCGAACTGTGATCCTATCTGAGCAAGTGTTTTAACCCTTGGGCTATTTTTTACAAACTTCTCAAAAACCAGATTCTTTTTTTGTTTGTTTATTTTAATCCACGTTCTCTTTTTCGAAAGATTTTATTTATTTACTTGACAGAGAGAGAGAGCACAAGCAGGGGGAGTGGCAGAGGGAAAAGCTGACTCCCACTGAACAGGGAGCCGGATGTGGGACTCGATCTCAGGATCTCGGGATCATGACCCGATTCCAGATGCTTAATGGACTGAGCCACCAGGCATCCCACAAAAACCAAATTCTAAATAAAGTTCTTTTGACCTCAAACTAACTTTGGGATTTTAAAAAGGGCCCCTGGACTATCTTTGTTCTCTCTCCTTATAACAGAAAAATGCTGAACTAATTAGGCTTATTTGATATGTTATATTACATGAGAAACGTTGTCAAATAAGATGTGAAGATAAACTTTCTTTAGCTTACATTTGTACAAATACATGTTAAGAATATATGCATTCCAGAAATTCTGAGATTCTTAAAAACCTGACATGTCCTGCTATAATTTATCCATCATGATTCTAGTTACTGTTTTAAAATGTATCACAGAAATAACCAACCTTTCTTGTCAATGGCATTATAACAAATTCTCACAGATCTTTAACCATGGCCATTTTAAGTCTTTTTGCCATTTATAGACACTCATCATTTTGCTCTGATGCTTTTGCAAAAATGTTCCCGCAAAAAATGCTTCTTTTTCAAAGACATTCCCAGGAAAGATTCTGACAAGCATTCTAGAATGCAGCTCTTCTGATAACCTCAAGACCATAGCACTGAACTGAGCGAGAATTT